ACGGCTCAACGAGACTAAAAAGAACACTGTGATATTTAGGAGTTGAAAATTAACTATATAGCCTAATGTAGAACTTATTTGCCTTTAACTTATTAACCTTTAATTTAACTCTACCAACAGAGTCTGTCGAATGTTGCCGAGAGTTGTGCCAACAGACACAAAGCAGTGCCGACAAATCACATAAAATACAAAATACTTACAATGGCATCCGAATGGCTTTTCATGACCAGTTCTTGTTTGCCTTTCACCTTGGGGGTGGAGTGATGGTTCTGAGGCTAGAGATCTGTGCCAGTAACTGGAAGGTTGATGGTTCAAATCCCATTAATGCTCAGAGTAATTCTACTCCATTGGGCCCTTGAGCAAGGCCCTTAACCTGCAATTGCTTCATCCTGGGTATGATGTTAATCTACATCCAGCCCTATAAGGAAGTCTTCCAACTTACAGGGGAAAAATGTGGGAGTTGGTGGCAGGATCGGCACTCCAGCAACTGGAAAAAAACCTCACACTGGTCCATTCAGACTGGTGTGGTGCTGAAGGATCACCCACCACATGGCTGCACTCAGATTCTCACTCCTGAGGTGGTTTGTCATGTTAGTGCAATATATCAATGGCTTGAACCCAGCAGACTATTGTGGTCCTTGCATGTGATGATTGCATGTACATGAAATGCCATGTTGATATTTATCAGGGTTGATCTCTCACGCATTTGGCATGACATTCACACTTCCTGACTTTCACGCTCACGCAAGAAATCGGCAAATTGATATCATTCCATAATAAGCTGCATCAAAAGCGTTGGTGTTTGCAAACCCTACAGACTATTTCCAAGTTAACAAAACCGTTACATACACGTAAATGCGTGTGCAGACTTGTCTCGAATTGAAAATCTCATGCCAGCCAGCTGAGCAGTGTTGGTATTAGCATTGCACATTGTACAAGCCTAGCATACAGTATAGTGATGTCCGATGCCGATGCCAATAGCCTTTGCGAACAGCATGTGTTGTATACTGTATGTCGTGACTTTGGTGTTGGTTTTATCCTTTACTTAAAGCATTTTAGACAATATGTTTGCAAATTTCTGAAGGTACTCAAGATTTTATCAGGTTTTTGGAGGCTCACCGTTCGTATGTATTTAAAACGCTAAAACCTGCTTACGTCATTGTTCTCCGTCTTAATTACTCCTGAGGCAATCGACATACATTCACTCGGAGGTGACGAATACTTTAATTAAAATAAGATTTTAATAAACACACAGTTTTATTAAAAGTAACTGAACAAAAGGCGCTTTTCCACCGGACTTTTTGGTACCTTCCTTTTTCCATTGACTTCCGGCCAAGTACCAGTACCAAAAGATGCGGTACCAAAAGTGCAAACCAGCTGGGGTACTTCTTTGGTACTTCGGTACTTGCAGGAGCTTTCTTTGTCGGTTGGTTATACAAATGCCTCTGAAACAAAAGACAAATGCTGCCTTGAAATCAGTCACGAACTCGCAAAACAATGACAAATTAAGTAAAAAAAAAAAGAATTGCGATCTGGTTGGAAGGACAGTTACAACAAAAAGAACAGAATGGCATGATAAGAAATTTTTAACGTTTTTTGTTTAATATACCAGGACAGCGCGTATTTAGGGTTAGCATGCTGTCCTAGCGATGTCATTTGGTTAAAATATTGGGGCATTTATAAAGCAAAAAGGAGTTAATACATTTCTCACAAACCCGTCTAGGAGTGATTTAAACAGCATGGATGAAACCACAAGGATGAAATCATGTGCCCCCACCGATTCCTTGAATGGAACGTTCGATTAATTTAAACGAACAGTTCGACATAATCAGTTCTGTGAATTGAATCAAACTTCCCATCACTAGTACAGTGGGTAACGTTGTTGTCACACAATGCCGTTTTTGTGTGAGTGGATTTTGCATGTTCACCCTGTATGTGGGCGATTTGCTTATACTGCCTGAAACACATTCAATTTAAGTGAATTGCAATGCCTAAATTGACCATATGTGTGACTGAGTGTGCACCCTGCAATGTGTGGTTGGCTCCTGCCTTACGCCAGTCGCAATGTATATATTCTATTCTATTCTATTCTATAAACAATTTCTTGGTGAATCGTCAGATTAATCTGTAGATTACTCGATTAATAATATAATCGAAAGTCACAGCCCTGAATATGGTACACATGAAAACAGTTTTTTAACTGTTATTTTGATTTATGAGCCTGATCTTGTGTTCATACAACCTTTCTCTTCTGTGAGACTTAACACTTAAATGGACAAGAACAGAGTGAAAGTAATTTGATGTAATTGAATTCAGTCTATGTGTACTTTACATTTTTATGTCTGCACTGTGTTGGTATACAAACACATCTGGTGGCACCCTATTCTGCCTCCTTTTGTTCCTTCCACATAGAATTGCCTACATTTGTGGTTGCTTGGCCTTTTCACTGCTAAATCTGCTCGAACCACAATCCTAAAATTGGCCAAAACTGTGTTCGATGATTGATTTTAACATGACTGGGACTAACTGCTAATTGCTTCATCCGCGTGGATGCACCAGTATCTATATATCTATGTCCTCCGATGGCTGTTTTCCAGTGATTACTTCAAAAATTTGTTATTGATGCTGAACAGATGTGGGAAAAAAACATTTTCACTAGAGAACACAACTTAAAATCGAATGTCAGTTCATGAAGATGACAATTGATATTGCAGTAGCATAAAAACCTGATGAACTACGCCTCTTAAAATAGACCAAACAGGTTATATACCTTTCAAAGTCTGCAGAGGTTTTGGACGTTTTCATAGATGCCCAGAGATAGCAATTTTATTTATTTATTTGTGTCAAATTTTAACATGACACAAACAGTTTGAAATTTCATCTACATTTGAAGAATTCCAAATATATTTTTCTCTTGATAACAGTAGAAGATACCAAAAAGTATCTTGTCTATATCATCTGTCTATATTCCGCTCTATTGTGTGTCTGTATTCCTCTCTTTTAAGTATAGACGCTCCTCTACTTACAAACTTTCAACTTACGAATTTTCAGACATACGAACAAAGAGGACTGTAAGTCCAAATTGTGTTCGTTGGGCTCCCGTTTCCTGTCCGCAACATCTAATTTTTTTCTGCATGTCAATTCTGCCTAGTACGACTTCTGGCCGCTACTCCCACCGCGCAGCAGGGTAGTGTACGTACTCCTAGCATCCTAGTTCTTTGTACTTGCGTATACCCTTAAAATTATGTTGAATAACGACTTACAAACATTTCAAGTTACGAACGGCCGTTCGGAAAGTAACTCATTCGTAAGTAGAGGAGCGTCTGTACTTTCATGATTGAGACAACAGTAAGTTTTACTCAAGATAAACCCCATAACAGACAAAATTGATACAGGTTTAAACAATTAACTTGCAGAGGTTTGAAGCAGAGGTTCACCCTTTAAAGCTGAGGTATCCAAACTTTGTCCATAAACTTCCTATCACTAATTACTGTAATTCGCACATTGAAAATCCCATTAATTAATAGATTCGAATGCCTGGTAAAACAAGGCATTGCATGTAAATGCAAAACAGTAGCAACAGAAAGAGATCAGGTGCAAGTGGTGGTTGTTATGGTGTCTGTACCTGCGTTTCCTCCACACCGTTAGCAGTGTGGGTGCCAGGGGTGTCTACTGTATATATGTCTCAGTTCACCACTGACATCCCTGTCAGTGGGTCTGCCCCTCGACTTTCTGATGTGGAAATGCGCTGGCTTGTGTAGGTGGGACCAAAGGCAGACACACAGCAAGGTTTCACTTTGCTTCTGCTCAGGCTGCCACCTTTTACAGCAGATCTGTCCATAGTCACCTGGTGATTATTTTCAATTCATTTATGATATGAGGTAAATTGTGTTCTCATACAATGCAGGCGAGGACTCATTTAAGTCATGTAAGCAGCAATGTACTTTTTTTCCAGTAGAGACTGTGGCTATTAAAAATTACTGTTTGTTTCGTGTGACTGAATTAATTTCACTTGCATCGTTTATGCTCACAGCAGCGCAGTGACTTTGCGGGTGGCCCTGTTGTCTCACAGCCCAGGGTGGCGGGTTCAACTCTGTGCGTGGAGTTTGCATGTTTCCCCTGTTTACATGCGATGCATTCCTTAGTGCATTTGAAATGCCCATAGTGTGTGTGTGCCTCATGGGATGGACAGGGTAGCTCTCTCCCTTCTGCGCTGGATGGATGGATGTTTGTAGCTGCCTGTCTAATAACATCACCTTCCACCTGCACCTGGATCTTCCAGATTCACATGCATGTTTATATACACCAGTTGTAACACTGTATTATACTCTACTCCTATTTATCTATCTTATGTACTGTTGTATTATGTTGCTGTGACACTACAGTGAGGGACTAGGGACATGCATGCTTTGTATTTATGAACCCTCCCCCTCACTGCAAACTCTCCGTTAAATCAACATAAGTGCTTATCAGGATGCATTCCCCAAGATTAGAAGTCCATCCTCCAGTGTCATGGCTGAGCATGTTCCTTTGGGAAGGAGAGACGGGCCCATCATTGAAATAGCCCTGGCCAATAATATTCCATTAAATGTTATTAAATTACCCCTCCCCCCCGCCCAACTTCTTCCATCCATCCATCTTCAGTCTACTTGTCCGCGTCTTTGGCCAGTCCTCTCCCCATAGAACAACATCCATCTCGCCACTTAAAATGCGGGTTCACTGCACAGAGACATGTTGGAATGTGTGAAATGTCCTTGTGTGTGATAATGGCTCAGGCCAGCTGGAACTGGTTCAACAACAATGTAAAACTCTTTGGAAAGTTGTCTTCATGTAAAAACCCATTCTATTCAAAATCATTATCTCTAAACGGTACACTGCATAAATGTGAAGCAAAAAATAATAAGCTGACTTTCACTACGATACTCGGTTTGTCCAAAATAGGTTGGTGAGTTATCCATCCATCCATCCATCCATCATAAAAAAGTTGCCTAAGATATTGATTTAATGATCCATGAAGTAATTGCCTTTTATTTCATGATTGCTCTCTTCACACTCAGAAACAACAAATTAGATTACAGTCAAAGTTACATGTACAGCATAACAAAAGATAAAAGGAAAACCGGTCTGACAATGTAACAATAAAGACAACAGAGTGAGAAACATGCCCCTGATTTCATCTTTTAGTAAACTGTAACAGAGATAAAACTGGTTTAAAAAAATTAAAAATACAACATTAAAACAAACCAAGCTCAAAAGAAATTAATACTTTATGTAACTGCTTTAGCTTCAGTTAAATACATATGACTTATTTAGGTATTTTACATGTTACTACAGAATCCATGGATGAAAGCTACTGTATCCTCTCAAAACATTTGACTATCCATCTATGGCACAAAATTTGAGAAGACCCATATCAATGTGTTAGCATTTACTCCTACTCTACTCTACAGTACAAACAGTAAAATATAGTTTTCTCTCTTCTCAAGGAGTGTATAAAATGGGGGTATTGGTATCTGACGTCTTGAAACATCACATCTAAAAAAAAAAAAAAAACGGTATGGCCATCGTGGTGTTTTTGCTTTGAGTGACCTCCATGTGGCCGCTGATTTTGTGTAAACGAGCGGCTAGCTAGCGAGATCCTTGAGGGTGACCGTTGACGCCCTTGGGTGGGAAGATACTCTGTACGCCCCGAGATCACCGAGGTGATGGGCTCCATTGTCTGCTGGCGAAGCAATTCGTGAAGCAGATGTGAGCTGGGAAGCATACCCATATTTGGCCGCAATCCAGACTCCCGCCCTCAACCTTTGTGAGCCCCCCCCCCCCCTGAGGGATTGTTATGATGGGACTTTGGAGCCATCCATTACAACCAACACATCAACAAACAGAAGGGCCATATGGATTCTGCCATGAGCTTCTGTGTAGGTGAAAAATGGGCTGTGCTCCACAGGCTCGGGTAACATTTTGATGTCCTCCTGAAGTGCGGCCGGTGGTTGGCCCATTCGGGACGAGGGCGAAGGCTCTGTCATGTGTCCCTCCCCGCCCCCCAGTGGCAGCCGTAATCTCATCATCCTTGATCTCCTTGGTCTTCCACTCCAGATTCTACGGAATTCACCTCCTCCATCCATTTTTTTCCCCCTATGAAGACAATTGATCTTAAACACACAAGCGAAGTTGAGGAAGACGTAAAGGCCCAGCCACTGACGAGAGCCGGACCAGAGCAAGGGATCATTCCCCAGGAGTCCACATTTAACTCACATCTAGGTAAATGTCATCCATAAAAAAATGGAATACAAGTTCAAAGTGAGTGTGACTGGAGGGGAGGAGGCCTGTCGGTACGGTGAGTCTTCTCAGGTAATCACTGATGTTCCTACCCTCCTTCTCAGCCTCTCCCACGTGCCAGATGAAGAGGTGCTCAAACTGACTTTTTGGGTGGCTTATGTACTTTCCCCTCCATGGACGGGACTGAAGGCCTCTGTGAGCATGCGGGATGGGCCCCGCGCGGAGTTTTCGGGGATACGGGGGTGACAGGGACAAGGCCACATTTGTGCGCGGCTGACAGAGCGCCCTTCAGAGGCCAGCTGTGGATTGGTGGCCTGTAAAGATCTGCTGAACGGGGGCTGTACCGGTGCTATGGCAGGCGGCCAGAGTGCCGCATCTCAGAATGAGTCATTAACAGAAAGAGCCCAGCTGAGCACACATACGCACACGCACTCGCAAAATCACCCTCGCTTTAACTGACTTCCACCTCAGAGTCACACAGAGATCTTCCCAGCTGTGTAAAGGTATTATTCTCAAAGATGCTACCAAAACAATCCAAGCCTGGCCTAATGGTTCCTGCCTTGGCAGGGGATCACGGTCCCTCCAATGGTTACATTAAAGGTTGCTATAGCAACCGCTCACATCAATGGTTTCATTGAATACAGAATCCAAATAGATGTTTGTTTTTTTTTTTGCCCTAAAACTAAACCAGTAATATAATTACCGCTCCAAAGAACGGCAAACACTCTCTGCTTAGTCGCTAATGAAAATGAGAGACAAAGAGGCAATGCATGCTTATGGATGTAATACAAAAAAAACATAAGGGAAATTATACTTTTTTTATTTACACAGCAGTATATTATTAACCATCAGAAATGGTTGTTACTATTACAATTATAATTACCATGTTGATCGAAAACATTCATTCTCAGCACTTCCTGAACTGATCACCATTATTACCGTTTGCCAAATTAAGAGGAATTTCACTCGCTACACAGTCGATACTCATTCATATTTTTTTGAATTGCCACATCATTATTTAGTCTCCCAGATCAACATCAGCAGCAGGGTTACCACGGTAAACACCATGAAGTTCCGGCTATCCCAAGCTTGAACGTCAGTGATTAGCTTCTGAGTGTGATTTTAGGCCTGGAATATTAGAAGCAAATCCTGTGACTGTCAGCTTGTTAGTAACTATGTCCTTCTTAGCTAATGGTTAATTTTAAGCTTGTAACCTGATGCTGTAACGTCCGGTTATGCGGGAGACAGACGCTAAATTCAACACGCAAAGCTCCCTGGCTTTTCCGGAAAACGACCTAATCGGAAAGGATACACAACAAAAAACAAAACGGTGCCCCTGCATTAAATATAATACTGCCGGTGAATGTTTCTGAAGATTTAAGACTTTTTTTAAGTATCATTGCAACCTCCCTGAGCACAAATTCATATTTGTATGAGAGAGACGTTTACCCCAATCAGAATTACGAAACATCGATACGCATGTGTACAAAACAAGAGGAGTGAATCCGTACTTTTCTGAGTGACACACACATGACTGAAACTCAGAGACTGATACAAACTCCTGCGCTTTTTTTCCCCCCCCCAATAACAGAATGCTAAGAAATGTTCCTAAATGCTTACAGCGTTCACAGGTACACAACACAAAGACCCCGCGAGGAGTCAAAAACGCTTTGCTGTTGGCGCTAAGCGGAAGATAGCACCAATTTGTGGTTCGCAAAGATAAATACCGTCAAACATTTTGTCTGTTTTATATATATGTATAATATGTGTATGTGTGTACATGAATGTTAATCAGACAATTAACGCACAACTGCTGTGACCAAATGAAATAATAAAAAATTGAAAATAATGGCATTCTGCTGTTTTTTTTACTCCAGTATATCAAAAAGTATTGCTACTGGTCTGGTTTTCCTACTTGTTCTGAATAAAAGTAACGGTATTCGTTGCTCCAAAGTGCTTTCTGGAAGCAAGGGGGAGTGTCTGCTAGCTTCTGCTCTACTTCCGAGGGGCCATCCTTGCATCTCCGGCCCAATCCCCTGACCGACTTGTTTTTTTTTGATGCTTTAACTCCCTGCCACCTGTACCGTTTGCCAGGAAAAAGCCCCACCTGCATCATAGTGACACCTATGGGTCACGGCGCCCATAGCAGTTCGTCTCGGCTCTTCCAGCGCTCTCACCCAGCTTCGCCACCTCGGAACAGGCTGCTATAGCAACGCCACTGCGAAGGAGCAGCCTCATACCGGCGTCGTCCTCCTGTTGATGCTCTCCTTGAGGTCCTTGGAGAAGCAGTTGTGGATCTGCAGGAAGCCCGCGTCGTGGTCTGGGCTGTACGCCGATGCCGTGCCTGATTTGAGCGGGTCCCTGCTCAGGGTAAACATGGAAATCTCGCCCATGGGCATGGAGCTGACCATCTTCAGGCCAACCGGGGAGGCATCCCGAGATGGGTCGGTGGAGCGGGAGCTGGAGCGGGACCGCCGCCGGCGGTAGCGGTAGCTTGGCATGCGGGCGTAGGGCGAGGAGGACGAGGTAGTCCTGATGAACTGCCGCTGCACCTTGCTGCGCATCTCCTTGTTCTTCTCGATGTAGATGTTGACGGCCAGGACTCCGACGGACTCGGCCACGATGAAGGACAGAGCCCCAAAGTAGAAGGACCAGCCGTAATTATACGAGGACTTTTTATCCTCATCTTTCTTGTCACTGGGGTCTCCGGCGTTACTGGAGATGTAAACGATAATGCCGATGATGTTGCTCAGACCTGGAAAAACACGGAGAACCTTTAAGGACGAGTGCAGAGACCGTATCTGCTATGTGTCGCTAACCTTTTATCCTCTCGCGGACGTCTGTGCTAGCCCATGTTTGTCTTATTTACTTGTTCTTTGTCATTAAATATGTTACAATATCAGCTATAGGCATGTTACCAAGAAAAACAGCTACCAATATGGTCTACTCTATCTGTCCAGGTTTATTGCTTAGTTACAGAAATAACGTCCACAATAAAAATGCCCCCCCCCCCCCCCCCCGCCCCGAGCTGGCTTACAGCAGCATGTTAGATCTGTGTGTTTGTCCTCTAGGGAGGGGGGAGGGGGGTGTGCGGACACTGGTTCACCTGCCGCCACGAAGAGGATGCCAGCGCTGAGCAGGATGTTGTTCTTGCCACCGTAGATTCGTCCCACCCCCACGCAGAGCCCTCCCAGGAGCAGCAGGATGGCGCTGAGGATGGGGAACACGCTGGAGGCACGCACGATGCCTGCACAGGACACGGCATCGTCACGCCCTGCGCCGACGGACAAGACGCTCCCGTGCCCACGTGCATTTCCCGAGCATAGATCCAGATCTCCTAAACCAGTGGTTCTCAGTCCTGTTCCACTTCCCCCTCCCAGAATGTTTTCATTCCAACCCACACTGCTTTCAACCTGCCACATTCATTATTAGCCTATTAAGGACCATATAAGCCTGATTAAGGTAGGGTTGGAATGATGACATTCTAGGTGGGGGGCAGGAAAAACATTGAGAACTACTGTCCTAAACCTTGTTGCGTCCTGCCTGCCTGGACTAATGACCCCTTTCCCAAATTTCCAGCGATGGTCCACAGTATCCTCACTCAAACACGCTGCTGGGGGGTGTCAGGGTCAGCGCCCTCCGACCCCGTCCGACCCCGTCCGACCCCACCCTCCATGCCCCATTCTTGTTTGGCCAGCAGGTGTCGCTGGCCATCCTGTCCTCCTCCCCGTTTCTAGCCCTTCAACTCCAGTGTGCCTGAGTCCCTAGCGTGTTTCCCCAGTTCCCCAGACTGCTGCGTGGGTTTGATGCTGGCTTGACACCAGTCTCACCGAGATTTTTGGTCTCTAGTATTTATTTGTTGTCGTCTTATTCTCGAGTTTCCCCAGGTTCACTGTGATTATTTCTGTGTGTTCTTCTTTCTAGTATTTCCTGGTGGTGTGTCCCATAATGCTTACAGTAGATTCTTAGTCTTTAGTGTGTGTCATTTCTCTTATTTCTCTGTGACCTTAGGGTCATTTTGTCCACCTGTTCCTCGTTGCTCCTGTGACAGCCTTGATTGGTTCATTGATTAAGTTACACCTGTTCCATGTTTTCCCTGGATGTCGGTGCTTTCCCTCACTCTGTGCTTTAGCCTTCCACTATGTGTTTTGGTCCTTGTATCCTGTTCCTGGTCTCTGTATTGCCCTGCTCCCTGGTTGTGTTTCCATTATGGGTTTTGTAGCTTGTATTAAATTCTCTTATAGTTTTATGACCCCTCGTGGTCCTTTATTTTGTGGGATTCCCAGTGTTCTGCACCTCCCTTACATAAACCCCTTTTGTGTTGGATCGTCACATCTTTTGCCACCTGCACTATGTCCCGAGTCCGTAGCACGATGCGCAGGGAGGGGGGAGTTTGAACGATTCCAAGGGCCCTGAGTGAACCCCTAAACAATCTGGAACATAATTGGATTGGTCGGGATTTCAGGCCTAATATGATCATGGGACCCAAAATATTCAGTGGCACCCCTGATGATGCACTTGCCGTGTGAGACTGGAATCAGCAACTATTGAAGTCTAAAGCATCCCAAATACATGAAGATGCCAAACATGAGAGAGGAAGTCAACTGCAGATCTCTCATATGTGAGACACCCTCCAGTATATCATACGCACTCTGCCACTCCCCAGTTTATTAAGCCAGGGCTCCTGGCTGGGGGGCTGACCTCATCGCTGTATCCCACGCCCCCCCCTGTCACCCCAACGGACACATTTCTGATGTGTGATTGACGTGCAGGTTTGGGGGGGGGGGGATGCACTCACGCAGAAGGTACTCAGAGCTGTCCGTGTCATAGTCGTTGTCCTCTGGGAAATGGTTGATCCGGTAGCAGCTCCCCCTGTTGATTCCTGCGGGGGGGAGAGAGTCACCGCGAGGCGATCAGGTGCTGCATCCCCCACCTCAAGGCGTCCAAACAGCACTGAGCGCTAGCCAGAGCCCCAGCCCCAGAGCCCCGCGGTACCCAGATCAGTCACGCCTCTGCGGGCCCCCCTTAATTACCACTGACTGAGACTGTTACCTCCACGCCACTCTGCGTCTCCTTCCACAGCTCAGATGCTAACCGCAAAAAGCGATATATATCTAAATAGCTATTTGTCTTTACACCCTGTGCTGCAGGTGTGATCCGTGAGCTGTTTCTCAGTGTGCTGAGGCAGTGACTCGATGGGGGCCTTAGTTTAATGTCCCTGAAGGATTCAGCTCTTCATGTGATCTGTAAAACAGGGACACTACGATGCTGAAACACAGACGCGGAGCTGGCCTATGGCTGTGTACTTTCAACCTGTGTTGAAATTGGTGTTCATATGCATGGTGTTAGAGGTGGGCTTAAATGTGGTGCCAGTGCCAGTGCCAGTGCCAGTGCCAGTGCCAGTGCCGGGCCTATGCGCGGTGCTGATCTTTCACATGGTGACAGTGCCGGTCTTACACATGGTGTCAATGGTCACAGTTACAGCTGGAAGCTCAATGGACTGTGGAGGAACACCAGCGCAGGGCAGAGCACCGTTTATGTGAAGTAACCAAACATTTATCAGTTAAGGTGAGGAATGTTTATTTTACCCATTCGTCACATGGTTTAGCTGAATGACAAACAGCTTCCAGGAAACCCGGCACAAGCCAAACGATGTGTTTCAAAGCAGCTGATTACATTTCTCTGAACCTGTCAAATGGATACACAGTTGAGTAAACAACCATGTTCCACAGGGATCTGAACCAATGTCCATGCTGCGCTAGATTTTGTTTTCTATGACCTTAGCGAAGCAATTGTAAGTATGTGATTTAATTTTCAGGCTCGTAGCTCGGAAAGAGGCTCAGAGTGAATGTTAACGGCACAGAGGAGTCAGTCTGCCTCACAGATTATTAGCTGCCGGGATTCGCCATGTCAACGCGGCATCTAATCTCCTGTTATGAAAGGACACAGGTCTGTTTCTGTAGACACACAGCGGAGCCTCTGTGCAATACTGACAGCCCTGTGTTTTTCAGTGAGAGAAGTATACTGGTCCAGGCATAATTGCCTGATTTACATACACCCACATCCTCACTGTTCGAGCTGGAGCAGGGAAGGTATTAATGTTTACGCTCCGGCAGGTGGGACCAGGCCTTTGGAGCGTTTGTTTACACATGATGTGTGTCGACTTAGACACTGCCGGACCCACTGATAAAATCCCGGCCGGTTCTTACAGGCAGACTCGCATCAAAATAGCGCTCATTCAGGCTGATTGTGGCAACAATGCTGGAATTCAGGGATTAATTATCTGTGTTAGCAGTGGGTGATTCCAAAGAGACTGCTTTCAGGGAAAGTGCGCGCGCGTGTGAAGGGGAGGGGGGTGTTGGTCGCTCTCTGACTCTCATCTGAAGCCCGAAGGAGAGACGCGCTGTGCTGGAGGGAGGTGCGACCGCGGTGTCAGACGGCACGCCGCGCCGAGCGAATGTTTAGGGCAAGGTTGAGAGTGATCGCTTTCAGTTTCTCCTTCCTCTCACGTGGGTCACAGCATGCTTTTAATTGGGCCTGGGGTTTAATCTGGAAGAGCGCGTTAATTAGCATTAAATAGGTCTGGGGAAGTGGAGCGAGAGTGTCCCAGTCTAGACAGCGGTTAAGAAGACTGGGCCCGTTTAGGGACACGGAAGAGCGTGCAGATCCAGCTCCGCTCCGCTCCACCGGGGCCTCCGGGCGCCTTTCATTAGGGTTTGAGCATCTTGGTGTGTTTTCCACCCAAATTTAAGAGAATTATACATTATAGAACCCTTACAGGGAAGTTTGAATACGGAAGTATATTTTTCTCTGGTTTCCCTGAATGACTCAGGGGGTTTCTGTGTCGGAAGTGCAGCGATCTCTTTCCCAGCGTCACGCTTTGCGTTTCTCCAAACCAGTGGCACACAGCCTAGCCAATAAACAAACCAGGGGTAATTAAATAGGGGCCAGAGGGACACTGCTCCGTCCTCCGGAACGAAGCCGTCTCAGCGAACCAATCAGCACACAGATACCGCGACTCCGGTGACCCACAATCCACCATGACATCCCTGCTGCTTAAGATACATATCCATTCATCCTTCTTCCCGAGTTGAACTGACAACGCCTCGCAACCGTTACATGCGATTAGAAGATGGATGGAGGGCTTAAATGACAGCGAGAGCGTCAGTGACATCTGTGACGAGAAGAGTATATTTATCTACTATCAAGTAAATGATTCAGGAAACATTAGCACCTGAGAAAAGTATAGCCCTTTCTTTCTTGTCTCATGCTGTTCGCCTCATTCGGCACAAAGTTACAAAGAATTGGTCTATTGGAAGCTGGGTGGGCCTGTCCAGGATGACATCACCCAGAGAAGGGAGGGGCAGGCATCTCCTGTGGCTCTACACACTCCCAGCATTCCTTCTGCTCTACTCTGCTCTGCCTGGCCTGTCCTCATGGGTTGAGGACTTGAATGAGCACATCTGTCACGTTGACAGCACTCCTGGGAGGAGCCTCTGTCGGTCTCAGCGTAGCCTGGACCTGGGATGCTAACCACTGAGATGAGGGCGCCCCCTAGGTGCCCCTGCGTGGGCATGACGCACAGCGGCACGGACAGGCCCTGCCCCTGACCCTCCTGTCTATAGAGCCCCGCGCATCGCTCTACAACACCTTCTCCATGGCAACCTCCTTTCCGTGCCGGGAATCAGATTCTCAGAATGCCTCCAAGGGTCGACGCTGATGTCTTCATTGTTCTCTAATTTAGACCAACCCCACCTCGTCCTACTGCTAAACCCCACCAGCCCTCATTTCGGGGCCTGTGCTGTTTTACTATCGCAACACAACAGTCAAAAACACCCAAAGCAGAGTTGCTACACACAGAGGGGGGGTGAAACCCTTCATTATTAATGCAGGCTCATCAAGTGGCACGACACAGACAGAACAATCAATTTAAAGCTTAAAAACAAGTCACTGGGAGAAATTGACTCTGGTTTCATCGTCATGTGCTGAGCGGAACATTTATTATTGAGCGTGAAGTACATTTTTCAAAGGATTATCAGGTAAATCTTAAACTGGAGCAACACAACACAGGCTGTGTAATTTTCATAGATGCTCTCAGAGTTTTACGAATCCACAGGCCACTTCACTGTGGGAAGACCCATTTGTTTTTATGGAATGCTAAACAGACAGCCTGTTGTTCTACTGAAGCCTATTTTTTGATACACGCACGGTATGCAGATTTCGCAGGTTGACGCCGCCTAAATTCCAGGTTACAAAGAAAATAAACACCTTGCTGGTCAGGAATCACATTTAACGCAACTTGTTGTGGGTTCAAATCCCTATATACAGCCACAGGAAAAAGTAAGAGACCACTCTATATTTTTAAACGACTCTGCATTCTTAATCCTGGTTTGATTGTGGTTTTGCTGGCAGAAGGCTTTGCTGGGCAGCAAGGTGCTTCCAGGTTCAAAATTACTAAGACAGCAGTGCTCAAGAATAAGGTGAAGCAGGAGGCACCGGGAACAACCAAAAACCAGCCAGGTAGTGGACGAAAGCGAGTTTCTAATGCCAGAGATGACTGTTTACTTAATCGACAATTTCTCATGAATCATAGGATGACATCAAGTGACCTTCAAAAGGAATGGGAAACATTAAGTGCAGGTGTGAAGTGCAGTGATAGAAGACATTGTATCAGGCTACTAGAAGCAAGACTGAAGTCGCATAAAGCCAAAAGTCAAAAGCCCTTTATCAATGAGTTGCAGTGAGAAGAGTCAGGCTGCAGTTTGCAAAAAAATGCATATTACCCACAGACACACACTCATATATTGAGAAATGAGTACAACAAAAAACTGTGCTGTGATTTTCTCCACGGCTGTAGTATCATTTTACCAAGGACAGCAGAGATCACCTTACAGGAGCAATTTCCATAGGAAGTGAACGGGGCGGAAGACCAATGAGCAGCATTTTGCACAGAACAGGGCAGCAGAGGCTAAGCCAACCAGTCATGGCACAGGGCAGCAAAGGCTAAGCCAGCCAGTCATGGCACAGGGCAGCAGAGGCTAAGCCAGCCAGTCATGGCACAGGGCAGCGGAGGCTATTCTGGCCAGTCACAGCACAGGGCAGCAAAGGCTAAGCCGCCCAGTCACATCACTGGATAGGGCAGCGGTGGCTAAGCCAACCAGTCATGGCACAGGGCAGCAAAGGCTAAGCCAACCAGTCATGGCACAGGGCAGCGGAGGGCTAAGCCGGACAGTCACGGCACAGGGCAGCGTAGGCTTAGCGGGACAGTCACGGCACAGGGAAGTGGAGACTATGCCGCCCATTCATGGCACAGGGCAGCGGGGGCTAAGCCGCCCAGTCACGGCACAGCAACATCCTGCCCACAGAAAAAGTTCAGGCACGCGCTGCACACTTATTGTCATTCCCCATCAGTGCTGAGCAGCAACGGAAGTCGGAACGGAAGCTAATTAGAACATCCGTGGCCTTTCTGCTGCCGCATCCTACTGACAGACTAGCATGCCTAGGTCAGCCTGAATCGGCGTGTGTGTGTGTGTGTGTGTGTGTGCATGTCTGGGGGTGTGCTTTGATAACACAACCAGAGAGAAACTGCTGCCCTTTTGCAGAACTCAAGTGAACTCACACTTCCCCTGGCCATGGCGATGATTTCGGTCTTCCTTGCATATTTGGCATGGCATAAAGGCGGAATTTTTCCCCAGTTGCGCCAAAGACTTTAACTAACACACTGCGGGCGTCACAGCTGTGACAATGTCTGCAGCAATATGGACCGGAAATGATTTCCTTTGTGCGCATCCAAGCACATTGTTTTCAGATCTTAATAAGCTAATGAACCGAAACATGCGATCGCATTGGGCACGCTTCAGTGAAAATGCACAAAGGGCTGTGATATAAAGTTGCAGAAAAAAAAGAACGACATGTTCACGTTTGCATTCTGTTTTGTACCCGGGCCAGACTGATATATTGTGTCACAGTTAAACACACATACCAAATCCCCCCCCTTCATGATATCATGCATAACGTGGGTTTATTCCACGCTAAGTTCAGTATTCTCAAGCAGGACGGTTCCCATCGGCCTGGCCAACCCAGCTGCATGCTGAGAACTTTGGGACCTGCAACTGGAATTCTGCTCACAATTTGCACCAGGGTAAAGGGCATCTTGTGCTTTCTAACAGGTGCGGTTAGAGCTGGTCACCTCTCGTTCCCGTGGATACGAGACCTTAGCAACGTGTCTCGCAGTGTTGAGGCCTCCAGTAAGGGGTGCTTCAGACCCTCCTGTTGCTGATGGTACTGCCTGCCAATGTGCTAAATTAAACCATATTTTCACACCAACTGTTACTCAGCCTTAAAAGGAGAGAAAAGTCACTCGACTAACACTGATGTCTTGTGAGTAAAAACGTTAACGGCTAGCTAAAAAGCCAACTTTCCTTCACAGCTTCTATAATTCTAGGAAGAAACCTGGTGATTTTGGGCACTGAATTCAAAAGACAACATACTTCCTGTTCGGTCACATATGTCCTTCCAAGACTTCTAATTCAGCTGCTTAATAGAATGTTTTATCCTTTTATAGTCGATAAAATCCACTGAAATGAAAAGCAATACATTTCCTGCAAATACGTTCCTGTTTATAGGCAAACCATGGATTTCCATGTTTATGGAAAGTAAATATTTATGAAAAGTAGCTCTTTTGATACATTGGACAATCCAAAAATCTAACAAATACGTCACAAAAACCAACTGCTTCCCAAGCAGGAGAAATGGGAAGTGTTCATTTTCACCGCTGCAGTAATTATTTTAAGTAGCCTAGTCTTTGTGGCAATTGTCTTCACCTTATAAAGCCATTAGTGTGATGTTGAACTTGGAAGTATTTTTATTGACAGTAAGGAAGTGTTTATTTTTATACTTTAGCTAGGCTGCACTCCAGGTGTCAAGAACACCAATGAGTGATGACAGTCTATCAATTCACTGTGATTTCAAGGGACATTTCAAGGAAATAAACACTGTAAACGTGAGGTTGTCTACCTAAGGCGGGCGAGCTAACCAGCGGAATTTGCTATGATTCACATCAGACACAGTCCATGTGGTTCAGGGCGTGAACAGAGCCCGCGCGCCCATCCATCCACCCATCCAGCCATCTGGGAAGGTGTAGCGCTTTTCGGTAGTTTGTTGCTGTTGCCTGTTTACATGAAAACCCAGTGAGCGTCCACAGCGTTTTAGGCGCCTGTCTAGTTGTATTAATACCAATTAGTTTCTTTAAACCGTATTTCTACATGTTGTATTTCTATACATCGGTAATTACAGTTTTACTTCTTGTCGCTAGAATAATACAATGTTAGAAGGAGGGCCACGTCAGGTCATTATAATTCCGGCTGTCTGAGTCCAGCACAGAGGCACGTTAGAAAGGCGAGCCTGTGGACGGCATATACTCATTGTTCCCGAAAAGCTCAGGGCTTCCCTTTCTACAATTTTACCCCAACCATAACCACAAATTAATTTATTGCATTCGGAGCGATATGGACGTGACAGTAACATAATCTGTTAAAAAAAAACCCGAAGAACAACATTACCCAAAAATCACGCAGTACACTGTACTTGTTTAACAATTATTTAACCAAATCCTCGCCCTCGCCAAAAATGAGCTGCTCAGAGCTGCTTATTTCCACCGAAACTTAGGCTACCGAAACGTTTAAGGAGTAAAACACAATGTATAATAGAAATGAAATAGTCAGGCACCTTTTCGTCAATGTATTTAATTAATCCATTTATCTTCTGCATTCTCTGTTAAAATAAATCACAATAAATAATAATAATAATGTAAGTGACAAATGGAGACCTTATAGAAATACGAATCTTTTGTATTGGTTATTCGCTGTAAAACACATGCATTCAGCATCATTTGTTTCATCCTTCAGTGTAGCTACCTGCCTTGATGTCTTGGGTGAAGCTCATATGCAACACAGAACAAAGACAATGTCCGTTACGGTAAAACACTAAGAAAACGCGCACCTACCACTTCATGCTAATAGCAGTTGCAGTTAACGTTTAAATGATTAGAAAAATTGCAAAAATCTTGTACAGAACTGCACCATTTGAACATTTATTGTTTCCATAGCAATTTCAAAAATTGTAGTTGCCAAGCAACAACATCAAATAGGTTACAATAAAGAGCTGAATGAAGGCGACTTTGTGAAGTCTGTAATAGCCGAGCTTTAGAAAATTTAAATAAAATGAGACTTGACGTATTAGCGTATGGCATTTTGTAAAGGGTATTTTGGTCAATAACAGCAGAAATACCCTCTCGGGTGAGTAGCATTATACTGTAAGTTGTAATCGATAGTACTAACTACTGTATGCACTTTGCGCAAATAAATACGTAATGCAGCCTTTCTCATGGTGTACTGCACGCCATTCGCCATTGTACATGGCTATAGTTCATTCCAGATGGGTTTCTTGGTTTACTTGTTTGCCAGCGTTGCAGCTTAATAGACTCACTCAAGTATAATGCTTCTTGCTGTTAACTTTTGCTTCTCACGGAGCTCTTCAAAGTAAGCCGCAACAGCAAAGAAACCAGATTTTTTTCAGCCCTGTTCTTTCCTGGTCTTTTCATCGTCCCATCCACATAACAGCATATAATAAGAACAACAATACACTGATGTTGTTTCAGCTGGAGATACACAACACTTTAGTACACAAGGTTCATAATACTGATGATTTATAAATGTTATACGTCACACACTGGTCTCCTATGTCTAGATCAGTCTGTTTTAAATATGGTGCCTTTCAGGTAAGCTGGCAGTTACTTTTCTTGTAATTTATGCACTTTTGCAACAATTTTTGCATCTATATTGACTGGTCGTTATCGAGAAAAAAAATGTAAAGAAAGACAGAACGAATGAAATCCGGCAGGTACCTTCAATACAGCAGATCCTCCAGAGTCCGGAGTGCGTGAGATCGCCTTTAGTTTTCTTCGGTTGGGCTTGGGTCTCGTCCGTGGTGGTATTGGTGGCGTTACATATATACGCCCGTGAATAAAGCCAGTAGTCCGTGCCAATAGCGATGGTCATAAGGCTGAATGCCGCAAAAGCTCCCACGGTGGTGAGTAGCATCTGAACCCCACGTTCACACCACGCCATGGCGCCTCATAATAATCCCCGCCTGGTCTAGACACTAAAACTCATCGCCCGTATCTCCTACCCCTAGTTACTGACAAGCCCCTTCTAACATGGCTTTATCATCCTGGGTTTAAAAAAAACCAATTAGAATATCATCACTTGTTTTGCATGGTAAAACTTTCAGATTCTGCTTGGTTCGCCCAGTGCAGATGCAGGGCGGTTCAGTCCCCTGCGCTTTTGGAAGCACTTTTGCGCGTATTTCTGCGCGTCCGCTTTCTTGATTGACCATTCATTGAGATGTCCACTTATCTCCAGCAAGCCCAGATCAGCTTTCACAAACTCGGACGGTTTGATTCAGAAAGCGCTTCGACAGCCTCCACCCAAACCCCACCTTCACCGCGACCGACCAATGGGACACAAGCATGTAAATGTCTGGAAGGAAATAAAACAAACGCGCTGGAAGGGAGGACGCTGGAGGCTCGCGGAGAAGGGGGTCAGCAGCGCGCGATAGCTGCAGGAGGTATAACAATGTTTTTTTTATGTGGATTTTTAGGATCAACTGGGCTATCGCAAAAATCGACATCAAAACGCGGTTTTCAGCAAATTTACTCTCTTGTAATACCCTTAAAGTTATACTTGAATACGTTTGCATTGATTCCGTTGCTCGTTTTCCGATTGAACACGATTGAAGTTAACCATCAGTCAGTTAAACAAGCTGTCTGATATGTCTAAATGGATTGAGTGTTTATACTTAAATGACATTTTAAGCTGCGCCAGATCACTGAATAACTAAGAATATTTAGAAACATTTACTATAAATAATATATGCAAAGTATATTCATGTACAACAATATGATATGCTTTGGGGTATACGTAGTAACACTTTATAGACTATTACTGTGTGCGTGCTTCATAGAATTCGTTTCTCTGCTCCAGAATGCACATTTTTAACAACATTTCGTTATAATTCATTATAAAGCTTATACTTGTGTGTCCTTATGTGTTGTTATGTATTGTGTGTGCATTCATAAAGTGTCCTCTAAGAACAGTGCACAGGGAATGTACGGTCCTTGTCTTTTGCAGCTATGGATTAAGACTTCCTTGCATGCACCCAGAGGAAAAAAAAAACAGATGCTGAAATACACCTCCATTCAATATTAAAATACATTTTAATTACAACAGCACCTCTGAAAATTATTAATCTGTAATATTAAAAATAATGTACGAGTTGAACTTCAAAGACACGTTACAAGGTAGGGAATTAGTAAAATAACTCATAGCTCCAGATTTAACAGCAAAACAATAACACAAAAAGCCATTTGCTTTACGAAAATGTATGTTTTCTATTATTCTTATGGCTATGCTTATTACTCTATTTTCATAGATAGAACCATCTTTTCAGACATTTGGGAGTATAAGAACTACTCCTAGACCCATCATTGCATATTGTGCATTTCATTTCTCAAGAATAGACCCTGGAATTGTTATCTGCCAGCATGAATCACACAGGATGGGCTAAACCAGGAGTGCCTAGTGGGCTCAACTCTGCATCAGAGTAAATCATTTGAGTAGGAGTTTATAAACTTGTTAATTACCATTAATTACATTTAGCACTCACCAGTACTCGATTTGCGTTGTTTTCTTTGAAAATGCATTGGTTTTGTATCTCATTCTTTCCATGACTATCATTTAAACTGGGTTTTGAAAAGTCCCACTGTCCTGTATTTGTCTAATCATCCATATCCGGGGTGCTGATAGAGATTCTGGGCCCCATGAAAGCATATGGGCCCCCAGCCCAGAACAATCATATTATGCTACAGACTTTAGGGCCCCGGTCACTCAGCTCTGAATTCACACACACACACACACACACACACACACACACACACACACACACACACAAACTGTTTTGTATTCATATACATATTTATGGGGAGCGTCCATTCATTCCTAATCCCAACATGACAATCTTAACCTCTACCCAGCCCTAACCTTAACCATAAGTAACCAAAAAATAAATAAATACGAGACTTTTGGATTTCCAGTTTTTGATTGCATTCAGAGATATTTATAAAACTGAGCTTCGCCTTGTGGGGACTGAAAAAAAAAAATGGTCCCCACAATGTCAAACTAACAACTTTTTACCACGCTGTGGGGAAATCTAGTCCCAACAATGTAATATATACATAACCCCCCCACACACACACACACACACACACAAACTAAAATCAGTAAGAACTGATTAAAAGGCTTTTCCTTTTCGCTCTATATTCACTTGTTATTACGCACATTTTATATGATCAAAAATGTAGGCTTAACTAAACCAAATTATTATGTATGAATGCATAAAAACTTTTGCAAATCTTAGAACACAGATAATGTTCTTTGTTTTTCCTTTTTATGTTGAACAGCTTCAGTTTTTATAGAAAAGACAGAATGAGTTCATTTAGGCAATTAATAATTAAGAACTTAAGTGCAGAATGCAAAGCAACACATGCACTAGGTCCCCAGGACTATGACATCGGCCCCTGATCTAAAAGGTTTTTGTTGTCATGGCGATTAAGGGGAGAAAGCAAAAACTACCTAGAGGAAAGAAGCCCCACGGGACAAGAAATTTCATTAAAAATTAGCCACATTTAAGAGTGAGGAATAGGGACCCTCTGACTGACAGACAACCAGAAGGCATCTTTGTCTAAGACACCTCAGGGTGTCTCCATTCCGGTTACTGTTTCCACAAAATGCAGCTATGTGCAATAAAAATTAACAAGATGCTCAGCGCCAGGTGTCCAGTCATGGTCTTCAGAGATTGATGTTCACACCAGTGATTATTTACGCCTTTTTTTCCCTCCTGGAAACATAGTGGTACACAAAGATTTTTAAAGAGAGAGTATTAGCGGCCTCATTTACCAAAGCGTATTAAAAACCGCATGTCAAAGGATGCTTTTAGCAGCTGGCTCTTTGGTCAATATAAAATGGTTGTTCCAGTATTTGCACAACTGAAATTAATCAAAATTGGATCCAGCAGGTTTCATATATAAGTGCTTTTTTATTTTTCTAATAAGATCTAATTTTTTGCATAAGAATAAAGCCTATTGAGAATTACACATTAAATGAATGCCAAACCACTTTAGTACAAAATAATTATTAAATGGGTGATCAGTTCTTTTTTGATCAGATCTGTAATGTTAACATCTTACAATGGTCAAAGACATAAAACCACGTTTGTACCATTTCTATTTATCAATACAGTCCATCCTCACTTCCTTCTTCTAAGTAAGCACATTCGATTTGTGGTATTTTGGTATTTTTTTCACAATTCCTCATTTACATTAGATGTAACCCACAGGTTACATATTTAAAAACATAAACAGCTCTGATCTTCAGTGGTATCTTAGCATTTGGCCTGTCTGTCAACAGGAAGCATGTCGCCCCCCTTTTTTTCCAAAAGATATAAAAGAAAATCCTGATGTTTTTGAACTTGTTTTAGATACATTACGGTAATGAAATTATCACAGATATTGGGTACCTCAGCATTCCTCATCACTGAATATTTAGGGGAAGTAGACAGTGACCTTTTAAACCAGGATGCGATGCGATGTTGCAACGTCTGGTGCCATTTTATCCATCACTGGGCACCACCCAATAAACCAAGGACCACCCATAAGGGGGGAAAGGGGAAGACTTTCAGGGGCCCAGACACTAGGGGGAGCCGTGAGTATGAGCATGGACAATGGGAGCTTTGGTTTGAGAGGGGGGGGCCGATTCAATAAAATTTTTCAGGGACCCTGCCGTGTCTTTGTGTGTCCCCAGCTACAGCAATGTACCGGGTCTTTATTTCACTGTCCAATGTAGCGATATAATGCAACATTCTGGGGGTTTTTGATTCAGCCGGCCACTCCCCACCAGCAGCATGTGAATAGAGATGAAGTATCACTAATGAATTTCACACTGAATGACATGGGGGGGCACTCACACTGAGAACAAGCCCCAGATGGAAGAGAAGGGCAGCATTTATGCAGCACGTAGGGAGCCTTCCTGGAAATTACAGAACGCGTCACGGGTCCCTATTCCGGCTCATTAACAGAGGTAAATTTATTACAAAGTAAAACATCAGCACCTGAAGTCGCAGCGGCGGCTCCTCTTTCGCATTTCATTATTTTTTTGGGTGCAGCTCATCACACGAAGCTAGTGCCGTGTCTCATCTGTCCTATATCTGCACCTCGATTTAAGGCTACACAACCGCACTGACATGTAAAAGGCAATTAATGTGTCCTCTGACGGGAAATGTTTAGCCAGTGATGTACTACTGACTGCTTTATGGTCCTTGTGTCTGGCACCCGGCTGGGATTTCTCAGGGTGTAACGCCAGGCTAAGATTCCAGGGGTCTGATAACAGGGCAGGGGGTGTAATTGAGTCCTATTGGCTCTGCGTGATGTTGAGCAGGCATTGCACATACCTGCTCGTGTGCTCGACTGTACAAGACCTGTCAGCACAGCTGACCAGCTGCAAAGTCCTGCCCAAGGCCATATGGAACACAGGACAGGTTCTGAACAGGGAAGCCGCTGGGCGATGTGTCGCTCAGACACAGTGAGGGCTGTGCTGCCTCCCCCACCATCTCCTGGTATCTTTGGTAGACGTGAACTTGGAAGCCCCATGGTATTCCATCACATAGAAGGTAAATGCATGTAACTTGGAAGATGCGACTCCTGTTCAAAGTTCCCTGGCTTACAGTAGCACCTGGATATGTGACATTTGCATTCATCCATTTCTCTTCTACAATATCCAATATAGGATCCATTTCAGCCTGGAACCTACTGTACCCAACAAGCACAGGACAAGACAACGGACACCCTGGATTAGATGTTTATGGAAACATGTAAGATGTGCAAATGCAGGTTAGGTGTATATCTGTGTCTTTGTATACGAGGACATTCTGAATCACGCACAAAGCAAAGAGGTTTGACTCTTAAAGACTAGCGCCACAGCCATGGGATGTCACCTGTCTGTGCCCCAGGGGTGAAGGCAGTCAGTTCTGGGTCTGAGGTATGAACGGGGATCCCCACAGAGCCAGTCAGTTCTGGGTCCGTGGTATGAACGGGGCTCCCCACAGAGCCAGTCAGTTCTGGGTCCGAGGTATGAACGGGGCTCCCCACAGAGCCAGTCAGTTCTGGGTCCGAGGTATGAACGGGGATCCCCACAGAGCAAGTCAGTTCTGGGTCCGAGGTATGAACGGGGATCCCCACAGAGCCAGTCAGTTCTGGGTCCGAGGAATGAACGGGGATCCCCACAGAGCCAGTCAGTTCTGGGTCTGAGGTATGAACGGGGATCCCCACAGAGCCAGTCAGTTCTGGGTCTGAGGTATGAACGGGGATCCCCACAGAGCCAGTCAGTTCTGGGTCTGAGGTATGAACGGGGATCCCCACAGAGCCCCTCTTTCCAGCTGGCGAGATGCTGCATGCTGTGCTCAGCCGCATCCTGATCGGCAGCCCGTGTTTTACACGAGACCCGACCTAGTTCGCTCATTTGCACGTTTTCGTGAACTCATCCACCGTAATGGTGTTTCTATGAAGCCAGGCCTTCGGAGCAGAATCCTGATAGGCCTTCTCTCTCTGAGAAAACAGGCAGGAGGGCCATTTCTTCAGGATAAAAGCAGCAGCGCTCTGCTCGGGGATGCTGGAAATATTCTCATGCAGAAAGAATCCCTCAGGCTCGCTGTGGCTTTCTCTGGTTAAACATTTCCCTTGCACAATTTCTGATTATAGTGATTAAATGAAGCAATTCAGTGATGCAAAGAGCTTACAGTGAGATTTTTTCATGTCTATTTTACAGTATATAACAGATATTGCAGTTTTCTACACATGTTCTTCTAGCGAGGGATCACTACACCACCACATATCAGAGTAGGGTTCCCTTTCCAAAGGCTCTGCATACAGAAGGTTAGACGAAGGTCAAGTTGAGCTCTTGTTTCACATGTTTTGTTCTCAGCCTGAACACTTTCTGTCTGACACCTAGTACTCCGGTTTTTAGTCCATTACAGTCTTCATCCTCCCCCACATATTCCCAGACAAGGCAGTAGAATCTACAGAATCCAGCTAGCACTTAAATCTGTCCATTCATGATAGGCAGTCTAGGAATGTTTTTTCTCTTCGGAGCTGCTGGAAGCAGCTCACACTTGTCCTGGGGCTTAATGAACAAGAGGGATATTCTCACTCAGCCCCCTGCTTGTGGGAGTTTTACTCAAAAATGTTCTGAGGGCAGAATGAAAAATGATTGGTTCAGAGAAGTTACCAATCAGATTGTAGAAGAGGTAGCTCTAAGCAACTAGAGGAGGCGGGACCAAGACATCTGATTGGCTGGTCCCATCTCCTCTAGCTGCTTGGACCCACCGTCTCTACAATCTGACTGGTTATCTTTCTGAAGCAATCATTTTTTGCTCTGCCCTCAAGACATTTTTGTGAATGTAAAACTCCCAGGAGCTCAGCTCCTTCCGCCTCAGTCTAAAACAGGTTTTAAAAATGTAGCCAGACATGTATCTGCCACCGCTGTTGCCCTTTAATTAGCCATGCTGAGGCACAATTTTTGTGTGAGCCCCTTACAGGTCCACTGAAGCCATTTTATTCAGCAGGGACTCCTGGCCACAGATCATATGGCACTGACAGCCCCTCACCGCCATAGCTGCATAAGAGTCTTATTCAGTGCCGCAAAGCGTATCCCAGGCATCAAGATGCAGGGACCTTACTGAGGGGCTGCTGCTGACATAATGAAACCAAATACCCTTTGACTTTTATTTTGACACCCCAAAAGGTGTCTCCCCCAGTGTCACTTCCTGGATATCACCAGCCGTGTGTGTTACCTGGTTTCGGCAGCCTTGCCTGTTTACTGGTGCATCTTTTGGTGTGATGTATTCTGTAATATTCAGGTAGTCACACTAGGACTTTCAACCTAGACATGTGAAGATGCTTTATGGCGTATCAAGTGACAGAAAAATGTGCTTAGAGGAAAATTAGAAGACATATTCAAGGAAGAAAATGTTTATTAATAATTTAACCAAGCTGGAGTAAACAAGCCATTGCCTGCTGGTGTAGAAAGAGGGAACGGTGAAAAATACGGACGTACCCTGATGCTAGAGGAGATAAGCCTGTCTAGACGGTGCTTTAAGCATTCTGGAGGGTTGAGATAAAAGACACACCAAACATGACACTGACCCAACATCATGGACTAGTCTGGCTCTGAGACACGGCATGACTCGCCTGTGACACCCCCTGAAACCATGGAAAGCCAAGAACTTCTGATGTTCAGCCAGAGTCAGACAGTGTTCAGCACAGTCCGTTTAAGAGCTGATAGCTGGATGCTGAATCTGAACATGCGTGTTTGGTTCAGATGGGTTTCAGCTGAGGAGGGTAGATCACTCACACTGGACCCAAATTGTTACTGGGGCTTTGGCTGAGAAAATCTAAACAGGACTTAGTGTCACTTGATAAGGGAAAACCAAACAAACCTTGTTGCACTGGGTTAGGGAATAAGCTCTAACACTCCTGACTGGGAAACTAGGAGACACACCAGTTTATTTCAGAACACAGCAGTTCATGCACCCAATAAGAATGAGGTTTGTGTGTAATTACTAATTCTGATAAATATTTCCATAACTAACAAGGAGGTGGGGTGTTGCTCAGTGGGTTATAATACTATGCCTGTGATAAAAAGGTTGCAGGTTCAAATCCCCAGAGAGGTGAATAATCCCACCTATGAACTGACTGGGCCCTAAGTCCCAGTTGCTCCAGGAACCATGAAACCCTGCTTTCTCTGCCTTTCCTCTCAAAGGAATGTAATATATAAATAAGGTAACATTTAAGCCAAGAATCTATAGATAGGCTTGCATCTCAGTTGATCTGCATACCAACCCTAGGTTCTCCTCTGGCAGAATTGCTTCCTGTCAGTCAGCTGTCACATGTGTGCCTCAGCAATGGTGTGGAAATAGAAGCGTCAGGCTGGACTGTGATTGGAATGGGCTTTGTTGACTCACATGGGTACATACTTGGCAGGGGGGAGGTTATGTGGACAAAAAAGAGGAGTGGGCTGATCCGGGCCGGTGACAGCTTCACATGGTCCTGAAACCACGCTGCTCCCAGTAGAGAGGAGCCCTCTGCCGGGACCTGAGCTCACATCGGAGCCCTGAAGGACGTGCAGTGCAGCTATGATTGGCTAATCAACAACCAGGGCTTGGTTAGCAGCCTGGGCAGGTGGCGGCGTGCAACAGGACTGCTGAAACATGGGAAACAGGTGTTAAAGTGCCGGCTCAAACGAAGGTGGAGCCGGAAGGTCGCAGATTCCGACAGCATGAGTGGTATTATTACCCTTAAGCACCAAACCTGAACCGGACCGGCAGACATCCAGCGGCCCAAGCTAGATAATATGGTAAATTAATTAAGTCTGTTTGGAGGAAAGCATCTGTAGCTAAATAAATAAATCACGAGTGGTTAACAAGATGCCTGTCGTTACTTTGTAGCATTTTCCACAAATGAGTGTTTAAGTATATCAAACACAAGTTGCGCTTGTCATCTCCTCCTAACGATAATAATTGATCACTTTTAAATATGCATAACATTGGGGTCTTATGTAATCAATAATAACTACTGTAACGCTGTGCTGACTGATACTAAAATATCTATTCTTTCAATATTGACTTTCATTTTGAGAATCAATTCTAACATTAAAATACAGATTTTTAACCTGGTCATTTAAATGTTTATATTGTTATAGGGAGCAGGACAATAACTACTACTTGGCCCATAAGGGGGGAAGGGGTGGAATTTCAGGGGCACACCCCTCCAATCCTCCCCACCCCCCATTTTTACTGTCTTGCAGGGTTGGGCAGGCATCAAATATCTGTATCCAGATCAGTTTCGCCGATACCAACTTGGTACTGGATCAAATTGAAAAATGAAAATCAGAGGTATCACCCATCACTAATAACAACCAGTGCTTTGTTCTTGACAGCTGAGGGTTCATATCATATCCACCATTTTACCTGCAAAACATTACTGAATGTATGCATCCATTGATTTTCTATATCACTTATCTAGCACTAGGTCAGTGTCAGCCAGGGAACACTCTGGATGGGATGCCGGTTCAGAACAGGACAGAGAATCGCACACTATGGACAGTTCAGAGCAGCCCTATAATACTTTCAAATTTTGAATTTAGTTTTTATATTATTCTCAATTTTCATTTGAAATCCAATTAGCTTTAAGGGAAAGAATTTTACATTTGTTTTTATTTCAGTTAGTTTTGGAAACAATATTGATAATTTAGTTTAGTTGTTGATGTAATTTTATTTCAGTTTATTAAAATGTTTTTATTAAAAAGTTCTAGTTTTCATTAAGGATAATAACACAGGTTTACAGATGCCAATTTCCAGGGGCGCTGCTAGGGATTTGGGGCCCAATGAAAGCATATTATACTGGGCTGCCAACCCAGACCAATCCAATTATTTTCCTGATTTTTTAGGGCCCCAGTCACTCAGGTGCGCTTGGAATCATCCTAAATTCCCCCCCTTTACTACGCCCTGCTAATTCCCCTAACCCATGTTTCAGGACTTCAGGAATATCCAGACCAAGGCACCCAGAGGAAGCCTAAATGAACCTTTGGAGAACATGCCAACTCTACACACATAGAACCAAGGAACTTTAATCAGACCCTGGGAGTGTGAGGTCAGGAAGCTATCCACTTCAGTCATGCCACCCAAAGTAGGAAGCAGAATCCATTTTGAGGAAAACTCGCTCACTTTCTGGGCAAAAGTCACGGATGCAGCGGCATGCAGAGGCGGAGAGGAGCTGCTTTTAAGGTGTGGCTGCGACCAGCTTTTCAAAGGCTTCTGCTGCCCATCCCTCAGGTTTAATCAGGGCTTGGAACCGGTGGAGGTGCCGCAATGATTAAAAAGAAGATGCTCTTTTTAAATATTTTACAGCGCCAAGCTGCTGCATCCTTTAACAAACTGTTTTTTTGATAATTGCACCTTGCGTGAGTGCGCACGCCTCGCTGAGGAAAACATACTGCTTGTCATGTTTAAGTCAAATATTACAGCCATCACATCATTAACGATGCAGCCTTCTCCTGCTTATGAAAAACCACAAGGAAGCTTATAAGAAAAACACAAAATTATTTAAAGATTCACCCTCACACCTCCGTGGGTGGTGGCCTGAATTTCGATCCCGCTTTGAGTGTAGATGTTGCATCCGTGTTCGTGCAGCTTGACGCTAGGTATTCCGGCTTCCTCTGGCAGCCCTTAAAAGAGGAAGATGTGCAAATGGTCCATAATGTGTGTGATTGTGTGTATATGAGTGTGCACCCCTGCAATGAGCTTACAACCCATTTGGGGTCCTACTCTGCCTGGTTCCAGTTATCTAAGACTGTGCTAAATAAGATGGATGATGGATGAATGGACTTGTGTTGGCTTTGCACTCACTGACCCGCCTTGCACTGTCACTTGTACGACAGTCACAGAAAGGCTCTGCAGGCAGCTCCATCGTGATACCCGGACCGTTCCTGCCATTAAAGGGGAAGCTTGGGTCAGAAGAGCCAGCCATCTTCCAGCATGCGTTTCAGATCTAAATTCCAAGCTCTTCAGCCTGAAACCAGTGCTCTGCTCTCAGAGCAGTTAAGCTCTGGCTGTACTGCGTTTATTATTTATAAATCAATAAGACGACCATTAAAGGTACCACCTTCTTTCCAGGGTTAATGACCTCCTGCATGCACTTCAACCAAAGCAGAGTTCGGCACAACATCCACAATTCACCTAAACGGCTGCAGAGAACCTGCCAATAGGATCAGACTGTCAGAGCATTCAGCGGCCCCCGCAAGAGGCCTCCGAGCTGGATTCCTCACCAGTAGGTTGCAGAGTCACGTCCCCCACCAGATTTAGATGGAATTCCTATAATCTTCATCGGGATGTTTAACCTGAGGTGAGAATGTGAGAATATAAACATCTGATGAGTAAAACTGCAGAGCGTGTGCATGGGTCTGGATAGGACAGCGTATGCATGGGTCTGGACAGGACAGCGTGTGCATGGGTCTGGATAGGACAGCGTGTGCATGGGTCTGGATAGGACAGCGTGTGCATGGGTCTGGATAGGACAGCGTGTGCATGGGTCTGGATAGGACAGCCTACCGGGACAATGGGTAATTAGTGCAATAAATAAACACCATATCTCACGTCAGAGCTTTTTCCACTGGTGTTCACTTCCATTGTTTTTCCCTGTGAGTCGCGCTGATTGTACAGAAGCATTTTAGTTGACGAAGCTGTGTGGGACATCGCCAGTCTCTGCAGATTAATGCTGAGCGTTAGACTATGTGTTCATCTCATTTTTCACACTTCAGTTTTCCTTTTTTAAATGTACTTTTTGCAACAAAAAGGTAATGAGATGCAGATGATGAATCCAGTTGGCGGCAGCTCATCTCAGTGCAAATTGCCTGTGCGATGGCAATGGGTTCAAGGTCAATGCCCTCGCCTTCGCTTTGATACCCGAGGTGCATGTAGTGGGGCTGTCATCAAAGTTTTTGGGGCGAAATCTGGACACAGCAGGAGCAGAGAAACTCCTCTAGGGCTTTCATCCCCATTTTACAGCCATCGGAGGGAAGTTATGGAATGGGCTGAACCAGTTTAAACTCTTAGATAAACTACCCGAGTGAGCTGCTGTGCAACTCTGCATCGCTTGCATGCGCACCAGCTGATTTCTGGAACTTTCTATACAGATACGTCAACATTTCAATAACACACATGCTCCGTTTAACTGTGTTCGTCGTCCTGAAGCTGTCTGAGCACGACGCCGTGAATGGTGATTATTACAATTGCATATCGGACAGAAAAAATTCCATCACTTAAACCTTCCCTCCCACTTTGCGATAAGTGGATGCTCATCTGTCTAAGCCAGCCAGAGTACAGCCCAGGAGATCTCACCGTGATTATTAGCTATAGGAACTCACCAGCTCTCAGTGGGAGTATTTCCAGAATGATCCACACGACGAGAGCATCCTGGATCTGTATATGTTACAAGGTCATGGGAAACATGGGCGTAAATGAATGGGTATAAATGAATGGGTATAAATGAATGGGTATAAATGCTGGAATATCATAATCACATGAAGAGCAGTGCAGTGACTGAATATAAAATACTCATCTCCTTTGTTACTTTCAGGCCGGCTGACCCACAGGGAATGACATCTGTGTTGCTTCTTGCAAAGCAATCGGAGCGGCATTATCATCAAAGGTCACCTCACAGACACAAAACACTACTTGTCTTTTATGCTAATGCTACTTTATCATGATCTGAAGGGGCAAAATCTTACAAAAAAAAAAGGTAAAGCCCACAACAGAAATATTAACACATAACTCACACATATAGCTCATGATGGCATAACTGATAAGAAAGAATAAATCAAAAACAAGAGATATTCTTCATATTTGTAGCACTTGATGAAAGGTTGTAAATATATGTTTTTACTACTATTAGAATTGTGCATATACTACCACGTTTTTATCTCCTTTTAGAGTTTGTCCCCCCAATGCATTTTTGTGCCCCTCCTTACAATGTAGCTCCAGAGCACTCTGAATATCTAAATACATATTTTAAAATATATACATACAGAGATGAGCCAAAACACTCCACGTGAAATGAATAAGGTTGACTATCTAGTAAGAACGGAGCAAGTCAAAGTCTAGGATATGTTAGACGGTAACTAACATTCTGTACTGGGTCGACATATTAAATGCAGGTGAAATCACTTCGAAAAGGGCAAGATCTTTATGGCCAGACATATGGGTCAGAGCATCCCCAAAACAACCAGGGGTGTTCATGGTCAGCTGTGCTGCACGCTTAGAGATGTAAGTTCCCGAGGAGTGAAAAACCGTAAACCGCTGACAGGGTGTTGGGTGACCACGACTCTTCGAGGAGGGATGTGACCGAAGGCTATCCCATGTGGTACAAACCAACAGAAGGGCTACTATGCCACAAATGCTTCCCCTTTCACAGTTTAGAGGGGGTTAGATTGAAGAGCATTAAGCAGAGTTAATTGGGTTGTGTAAGATATTGTCAAGAGACCGATTAACGGGAAACCTGTCCATGTTCAGATGCTTATTCCTTTATAAGCCTCTGATGATGGTTGGACAGTGTCATATCTTTATATAGCTATAGTACCTGGTTTTATAATTATGTATTGAGCTTTTAAGTGAAGCCCTTGATCACCAAGGTAAACAGGGAAAAATATCAAGAAACAGTGTCAGCAGTATGTAATCTCAGCAGTCTCCTCAAACTTTGATAATCTCGTCTTCCATTTTGGTTGTTTCCATTTTGGTCGTTTTCAGCAGAGGTTTGCCTTTCCAGATGCAAAGCACGGTTTGAAGTGCAGCTTCAGACCCATGGAAACTGTATGTTAGAGGTGGGCAATCTTATTCAGTAAGGGCTGGTGGGTATGTGGGTTTTTGCTGCAACTCCCTAATTAGAGGACTGATCGGCTGAAGAGTCCTCACACTTGGGTTTGAACAGCCGACCTAAAGTTTACCCCAAAACCTGCAAACACACCGGACCTTTGCGGATAAGATTACCCATCACTGCTGTATGCAGTGCAGCTGGGAGAGTTATTATTCCCGCTGACAGGAAGGATCTCCTACTGGCCTGACCCACTGGCAGCCAAATATTCATGTATTTCCACTGCTTGAAAGGCAGATGATAACATAAAAACAGAACTTTTCATACTGCAAAACATGTTCGCTGCAAGAATGTTCATTATCTTGGTTCAAACATCTGATGTTTGAAGGACTCTCTACTGAAACTGTCTGCGATAGTATAAATGCTGAGGAGTTCAGCCCCTGAGAGAGCATCTTCAAAGGTGATAAGCCACCTGAAGAGTTCAGGTTTATCAGGGCATCGGCAGCATAATTCAGACCCCCGGTCCTTCCCATCATAACAGGCGGTGGTGTGAGTCTTCAGTGACTGGCTCTTCTCCGGATCGAAAGGGCTGAATAATGCATCAGTGAGGCTTCTCTTCTCTTCCCGCTGCAGTCTGTTGTGGGACCTGCAGGCTCATCTGAAACGTCTGGCAATGATGAATAAGTAAACACCAGGTAGACTTCCATCACTTCAGCAGGGGATCAGTCGCCATTAGCACACGTGTACATGCTAAGGGGGGGTGACGACTGCTGCCAAAAACAATTCAGGGCCCCCTTTTTGTGGCACAATGCCTCTAAAATTTAAAGTTAATTCAGAGCAGTAACTTGTGCTTTCCATGCAGCCCAAAGCTTAAATAGCACTGATGTGTCTTTTTAATGTCTTTCTCAACAGAAGTAAAACTGCAAGACTGTGAGCATATGGCACCCAGCTCGAGGGTCTCTCAAACATAAATGCTCCATCGACCATATTCAGAACAAAAATGTGAAGGATTAACAGCCAGGGCTCGGAAGTTCTGAAAACCTGGGTTTCTCCAGCGGTCTCCAAGGGGCTCTAGATGCTTAAACAATACACAGCCCAAGGTGAAATCACATGTGTTTCTGGGTCTGGTAAAACAGTCAATCTAAAAATATGCATGAACTCATTTTTGTCCTGTTTAGTCCAGATTATTGCCCCCACACAAACAGTCAAACTGGCATTCAGGTAGGAGGATGAGCTGAAATATTCTGTGCTCTGAAGGGAATTTTTACATATGTAGGTAAACTAAAAATACTAATACTAATAACACCCGCTTAAAGCAGAAGTCGATGGGAAAAAAAAAGGCTGGTTACATAAAATATAATTAAGAAAAAAAAAAAGTTCAAAGTGTGATTTCTCCTGCTGCATAATTGAGCACGGTAACCTGAAATAAGGGGAAATTGCCTTTCATTTAAAAGAAAAAAAATCTGTACATCAAGATATTTTCCCAAGCTAACTGAAAAGGAATCTAACGCATACATGAAGAGCGCATCAACCACGTTAAGGTCAATATCACCAGCAGCAATAACTTCATTGGAATAAATTACTCTCATGACATTATATTAACTTTAACTTGTATTAACTAATGCACACATTGCGTAAGAAGTCATGTACACAGCTGATGACACCGTGAAACAATGAACAGCCAAAAACAATAAACACCGATGCGGACAACTGACATACTGACTAATCATTTATGAGTGATGCTGCTGATTTAATGAGCCAGTTAACCTGTAGGAAATTACCAGTGAGCATATTTAATGTTGTGTGTTAAAGATGACTAACCCTATAACCAGGGGGACCCTACAGACCCCTTACCTGCACAGAAGGGCAGTCTGTAGGGCAGTCTGTATCAGCAGTCTGTATCGGTAGTTCCACATGTTGCCCTTCTGAATGTTCTCAGCCCTAAATTGTTACCAAAATACTCCCCAACAAGAAGAGGTACTTTTAGTGTTAACAGTTCAATTTCCACAGCCAGCCAGCTATCCGTGTAAAATAAATACTCTCAGTCAGGTACTCACGGGAGCCACAGTTATTCATTATCCAGTTTTTCACTCCTGTTCCAAATTACCACAAGGTAATATTCACAACATGCAATATTGAAAACAATGAATTTCTCATTAATTCATTCATACTGACATCTGTTTTAATGTGGACAGGTTAGAAAAGACGACGTTTCTACCCAAAAGCACAAAACTTGCTGATAAAAAAACAGTATGACAGCATATCAAAAATATCAAAAAACCTAAACTGACATTGTTCAATGGCACCACGTGGTTTGCGAGAATTTAAATTCTTCTTAATTTTAGTGATATTTCAATGACAGTGGTGTGCAGGAATATATTAATTTTTAGATAACGTTATCTACAAATGGCATGAACTATATGATATGAATGGACACGGAAAGACGAGCGATTCACAGTTAAAAGGAGTCCCTTTATCCACTGAAAGTCCCTTTGACAGTTAGAGAGGCATCACACCAGTGGCCTCACAGACATTCCAGCTGACAGGCTGAAACTTCAAGTTCATGTTGAAGTTCTGGTTCAGGTTCATGGCAGAACCAAGAACCATGGCTTCCAGAAGCCATTATTCTCATATCAACGGTCAGATTTAAATTCCCCAGTGGACTGTGAAGTTGAGACCTAAATCAGATAATACTGGCTAAAATGATCTTGCCGTAAAACATTTAGGAAGTGATATTATCAACTAGGTACATCTGTATGCAATGCTCTTTAACCACAATGGCAACACATCGCCAGTCAATGTAAAATATACCAGCGACTGTCATTTAGAGAATTAACAATGCAGATTTAAGTTTGTTTGGGGCTTTAGAGGGGGGTGCTTGACGATTTTTGATTGCAGAGCACAAACCCCTCATCTCACCTAACGACACAGCTTTAGATGGAGTGAAGTACGCAGACAGCAGCGTAATGAACGGTTGGGACAGTCACACGTGCAGATAAACCATAACCGTTACTCCATCCGCAACAATCAATACAAATGCGAGGCTGTAGCCTAAAGACTCAAGGCTCCTGGCAACTCTGCTATGGAGCAAGATGTATGTTCCTGTGCAGATGGATGTTCCTGTGGAGATGGAGGTTCTCTCAATCCTTCGGAGGGCAATGTAAGTTCCCATAAAAGCAAAGCCATTCAGAGGTATAACATTCATCCTATGATGAAGCAATTCTTTCCCGATGGTAATGGGATGCCAATCCCGCAAATAAATAAATAAAATAATACTACATTTCATGACCATCGCTTCCCTTATAATCTCATCCGAATTTAATGTTTATGGGTCGGCAGCAACACTGTTTTCCATGAGCTTCAACAAAATAGTGATATTTCTTGCGGAATTATAATGTTTCACCCTCCCAGAATAATTCCACTGATGTGCACAATGTATGCTGTCACATATACACATTCTGTCATCTTGCAATGACCTATTAATTTAACCTATTGAGATTAATTGTGTTGATGCTGGCTCTTGCTTGGTAGTTGCCAGTATGAAGTCTGCTAAAAGATTACATTGAAATTTTTGCAAAAGGTTTATCATATACATATTCCATTTTACTGTGAGAAATATAGATGGGAACAGGATTTATTTTATATTTGGATTCTCATATATTGTGTTCTTGGCATGAGATAGGCTTATGATTAGAGAAATCAGATTTTACCCATGCCCATTGGCTTAAGCTTTGATTAATACGTTTCGGTGCCTTTATTATCTAAATCGGCTTTGCCAGCACTGCACAGGGGAATGTCTAGCTACGCTCCAGATGCTTACACAGCTGAAAAGTCGAATTTACTTTGACACCATGCTCTCGAGCGAATTCTTATCGCTATTCTATTCCTGACACTAGGTGTCACTGCATCCAAGATATTCCGCACTATACTGTCGGGTAGTTTTGTGCAGCAAAGTAAACGATACGCAATTAACTGGGACGACATTCCCAATTTGTGTATGATTAAATTACATTTTCAGACTAAGTTCGAACTTATTCAGTTGTGCCCGATCTGTTAAAATAATGTTATTACTTTTTTGCCATAGCACTAATACAGCGTTTCGGTTGCTTCAGTAGAAACCCTGGTACGCCTCGGGGCTCAACGGAGTGCTTCAGATACTCATTAGTGCAATTAGCAATTAAATGATTCAGCTGCAGAATTTAGCATGTTAATAGAGTTGCAGAAATTTAAATATTATTTTCAGGAAACGTGACTGCCTGCCACCGTTGTGTTACATTCATTATGCAGAAGGCTGCGCTGACATTTATGGAATAAAGAGCGAAGGCTAAAATTGGTACTTTGGACGAAGTCCAGCTTACACCGTGTCGCTCGTCGTTGCGAATCCTGACTCTCCATAAACAGTGAGATGAGCTTGAGAAACCTTTTGGATTGTGCAGTGGAAAGTGTTTAGCGTACACGTGTTAAAATGGAAATGCATCTATTGACACACCAAGTGACGTACCGTCGTGAAATCAGCGGGCAGCTATTTTAAGTCTAATTTATTCTGAATTCGTCTATCTTGATCGTTGTATATTGATTTATATTCACTGTGCCCAATATAAACGCATTGGCAATACACCAGTTCTTCGCGTTTTCGCGTTTCTTGCACGATATTTTAATTTCGCGAAACTACCTACAAAGAAATGTGCCCTTAGGTTGAATTTAAAATTTTTAAATGTTATATTGTGACCAAACTGTAGGTACTTATTTGAAGGAAAAATATTGTACATTTCAGCAGATGTTTAAGGAGTGGTGTATAACTTACCGCGAACACGTTGGTCACGTAGTTTTTCAATTTATAGTCCAAGAGAAAAAGGATTTGTTGAGGTAACTGTGAAAAAGTTCACCAAAAAAATAAGGATGTAATGCCACCTTGTGGTATTAAATAAAATGCATCATTTTGCATAAACATATGCAAGATACGTTCGCGGAGGCCCTTTGGCGTGGGTTTGCACGCCGGAAGTCGTAGTCATACCTAATCCGCCTTGTTGTCGCAGTCTTTGCTTATTGTCACACACTAGACTGAAGGCATTGACTGTTTTTGCACCCCTTTTGCAAAAGGTGCTTCCATTGTAATAATAATGCATTCTTTAGGTCACAGTTTGACCACGAGTATGTCTCAGTATAAAAGCTTCATATGAACCTCTAAGATTTGGATTTGTTTTATACAAAGTAAGGGAGGGTACTTATAATTAGCTGTTATAAAAAAATGAAAATGTCTTTTAATGTCACAGGTGCTCGCTCTGTGGCATCTGTAATCATAAAAAAATTTGTCACCATACAGAGGACATAGTAAAGTGTACAGACGGCATACTTGTATATCATACTCGTATATCATACTTGTATACTGAAGTATATTTTTAGAGTTTAAATACAGGGTTCATGTTACTTGTGTGGATCTTCCTTTTGTGCAACAGAAATGTTAGCTGCAGCTGGTGTAGTATCTACTAAACTGACCATATGGAAATCTGAAATGTTGTGTTGAACCAGGTATTTAGGGTGAATTTATTCTGCAGTGAGACTAATATAAAATATATCATATATACAGGACCAGTCAATAGTTTGGACACACCTGCCCTTAATGCATTTGTCTCTATTTTAGCTATGCTATTCACCTTACAGCAAAAGGCAGCGAAAGGTTATACATGTATATCAAACATTGCATCTACCAAGAGAAGTGTTCAACATCTCACATTTTTCTGAAATTTTAGACTCTCCAAGAAGGTCATTTTGCTTTGAAGACAGCATTGCAGACTCTTGGCATTCTTTCAACCAGCTTGCAGATGTAGCCTCCTGGAACGCTTCTCCAACAGTCCTGAAGGGGTTTCCACAAGTTCTGGGCTCAGGTTGGACACCGTGCTCTTACTCTTCTATCCAGCTCATCTCAAACCAGCTCTGTGGGGTTTAGGTCAGGGGGATTTTGGGGGCCAGGTCACCTGTCACAGCACTCATCTCATTCCATGTTCACAAGATACAGTAAGAGTACTTGCATAACCTCGAGGTGTGCTTGGAAGAAGAATGATGCCTCACTGATCCCTGTGGGGAAATTCTCTTTTTTGCCTCCCTCATCCTGCTCTCCAGGAGAGCCACTCGGACAAGGATAAGCTTTGGGGTCACAGCCAAGGGTCGCCACCTTCGGCAGCCAGGGAGCTCGGGGTTAAGGGCTGTGATCAAGGCCCACGGACAGGTGATTATTCTGCCGAAGTCAGGCTCGATCCGCCGACCATCCGGTCACAGATACAGTGGCTTAGCCCACTGCTGTTGAAAAATGAATGATTTTTCAGTAGGTGTGTCTAGACCTTTGACTGGTACTTTAGGTCATTATGGGTAAAATGTCTGTTAGCAAAATAATGTGCTTGAAAACTCCATCCATACTGCTGCTGTTTAATGTTAACGAGAACAGGATATGTAATTAAAAATATTATTAAAAACCAAATTGTGGCGGTTCCAGAAGCATAAAGATACATTATTTATGCCTTTTATTGGAATTTTCAACTTACTAATTTAATTTAAATTCTTAAATATCTAATTTAAAATTTTATTCAAGGCTTTTAATTCAGAATTAGGGTACAAACTGTTAAAATACTTCATTTAATTTCCATATCCAGTAGGGGGAGCCACAATGCACATTAAACTAACGGTTTCGTTTGGCACCATAACCGAAAAGTGTGACATTAGCCATTCATACATCCATCCAATCGCTTATCCTGGTTTGCATAGGGCACAGGCCTGGATACACCCTGGGTGGGATGCCATATTACTATATTCAGTTGAAAACCCAATACGTTCCTAACGTAACATATAAACATATTGACCATTTTCTTATCATAATTATCATCACTATGCACATACCGAGTTTTTTTTTTTTTGGTTTGGTTTGGAATCATTGGAATGATTAAACTGACTAGGTTTTTAATTTTTAATCTCACAACCACCTAATATATTCTTGTCCAAACTCGAGGGGGGGCGGGGGGGGTTGTGGCTATCTCAAGGCAACACGGGGAACAAGTTGGGGCTGCATGCTGTAGGAGACGCCAGGAAGCTGGATAACCTGGAGGAAATTATCACGACACGGGGAGATCATGCGACCCCCACACCCAATGAGTCACCGACATGCAGCATCCCCGATTATTAATTGGATTAATAATAGATTGTAGCCTACCATAAAATATGGCACTGGGTATGAAAATCATGGATTGCCATGGGTTGTGTCGAAATAGCGGAAGGCAAATTGGATTATTTACGATTTTTTCCCTTGGGATGTGGAGCAATTCTTTCAAAAGTTTTGTTTCGCTAGCAGAGAAGGAGTAAAACTGTGTGTTGAGGGGTGCATATAAAGCCTTCTGCTTTACAGACAGCCGGATTATGGTCTATAATATAATAACTCAGGATGTAATACAGTGAATACGGCAGTGCTGCTTTATTTCTGAACAGAATGATTCTGTGCATACAGTACAACACAATTACTGGAACGATCGCTTATAAAATTATAATAACTTTCGAAAAAGTACTTCCAAAATTAATGTATAAGTTGTAAAATGTGTAATTACAACATATGCAAAAGCTCACATCAGGATTATGCATTGCAGAAGGTGCACAAAGACAGTCTTGGCACTTTAAGATTATATACTGTCGTAACTTTCAGTATGCGTACAATGCGTACAAAATGGACATTTAGAACGGTTATAAGCCTATATAAAACGTTCTTGTAACGTATATACATGTATTGTAACTGAATATGTACATTGTTAAAAAAAAGAAATTAAACAACAGGACAAGACAAGTCTTGATACGGTTAAGGAAATGTATACTTAATGCAGAAACGGAGCCATGTGGAATACGGAGCCACGGCAGTGTCCCCTAATTGCTGTCCCCTGAATACCAGCCTTGAGTGGCAGGAGACGAAGAGGTGCCAGATGCGGGCAGATGAGCCACTGGCAAGCGAGGCGGTACAACTCAGACAACAGCAGACAGGCTGCTAAAGTAAAGGCTTTGCGTCACACCGACAGCTTATAACTACACCTGTTACAGCAGTGTACACGTGGAAACCTTATTTCATCGAAACATACATTTATGTAACAGCGAGATCTGTCCAACACGTATAAGCCCACTGCCAAAGAAACTGTGTAAAAGTATTTCACATTCTTATCCTTTACGTTTCATTTTTTTTCCTGTACATTTCTTTTTTTTCTGTGAACATGTCAGTACTGTAAAAATGTAAAGCTGCGGAACTTATCATTGTACTAATATTCCTTTAAAAGACCTTTTGACAATAATCGATGAAGTATTGAATATATGACACTTGTCTAACATTTGGCAAATTGTTTATTTAAAATATTTTTATCTTGATTGTTATATAGTTTTAAATATTACTTACGTATTTACATAACGTTATGCTATATTAATGATTTTCAGTATATACAGTTTGAATTTTTAAAAATGTATGGCTTTCTCTAACAATTTAAAATTATTTTTTAAACTACATTTTAGGTATAGTTTTCAGTAAATAATTTTGTGATAAAAGCAAACATGGTTTTTCACATTAAAAATTCAAATTCATATATATGGATTAAGATTTTAAAATTTAAAGTGCACAGTTTGAATAAAGTCAGACAGAATTAAAATGACAATTACTAATCTGAAAAATTGGCAGGGAGGATAAACTGGAACTCTACTGCAAATTCACTGTAACACTGAAGTCTCAGGTCTACAGGCTGTGCTGCAGTTTACACATTCAAGTACAGCTTAGTATAATTTAAATTATTTGTCTTTGACAAGTAATGTCCACCCTTTGTGTGTCTTGTAAGAACAGAGTCTTTTCGAGCAACACAACATTTCACATAGGTATGAACTGTTCTGCTGGTCCTTGTCACTCGAGAATTATGATTATTTCTGCTGTTAAAGGCAAAAAATGGAAATTGGAGTGAGAGGTGAGTGTGTCTAATGTGAGTGCATCATAACCTTGGCCTCTTACTGTGCCCTGATTGGATGGGTTTAGACTCAGCGGATTGGTTGTGGAGAATGTCTGTCGGCGGACCATAAGACGGTGATTCCAGATGAAACTATTAACGTTCGCGTAAATCTTTGTACTGTTTGTTTCCATATAACCTTTACATCTAAGAAACCTTGTTTTCATGGTTTGAATAAATAAAATAACAGGAAAGCATTACTTTTTGCATCACCTTACGGAGCACAGTAAATTCAGTCGGATATTGACCCAAGATGGCTGAAGTCTCTATTGAAGGAGCACAGACAAAGCGTGTGGCGGTATTTTCTGATCATCTCACACAGTTGCTTAATCCAATGAGATATTTTGCCTGTTTATCAATGACATGAAGCCCTGTGAAATAGGGAAAAAAAGCAGCCACTGCTAGATCACTTTTGCTAAGACAAGCAGGGTGTGTGTGCTTGACAAGGCCCCTTGCTATCTGACACATTGACGTAGCTGAGTCTGACTGTTACAAGGCAAGGGAAAGCTTCTGGGGATCCAATCTAACGGGCTGCTGGGGACCCACCGTCACTCATTCTTTTGGCCGGGGGTGTGTTTGCCCACCCCCCCCTCATGGTCAGGTCACGGGCCTCAGCAGGGGGAGGAGGACATCTGGTCGTAGTCGGGACACTTGAGGAGGGCCGGGTAGTTGGAGTTCATCTGCAGCGAGGCCTCGCTGGAGATGTCCGAGGGGCTGCGACCGCGTACCCAGGCGTCCGGGTGCAGGAACTGGCCCGAGTAGTCGGAGCAGTTGCTGAGTCGGGGTCGGTAGAAGCCCGGGTGCGGCCGGTACATCTCCTCCGCCGTGTACCTCTTCATGAAGAGGTAGACTGACATCACGCCTGCAGTCTGTGTGGATAGAGGCATGGGGAGAGAGCAGCGAGCAGGAGTGAAGGAGGACGTGTAGGGGGATTTACGCTCAATGTAATGAAGCCGGCGGCTGATGGATAGTCTTTCCATCATGGTGATTTCCCTTGTGTGTTACATCAGTGTACTGCAACTGGAAGCTCAGCCATACGACAAATATGCCTTTTTGACATCTATCCATTTTCTATAGCCGCTTGTACAATGCAGGGGTGAGGAGTCTGTCCCGGGGGCTACAGATGCAAGGCAGGGAACAACCCAGGACGGGGTGCCGAGCCACTGCAGGACACACTCACCAATGGGCAATTTGGCAATTTAACCTCATCGTGTTTTTTAGACTCTGGGGGGAAACCCCATGATGACACGGGGAGAACATGCAAACTCCACACACTCGAACCCACGTCCCAGAGGTGTGAAGCAACAGTGCTAACTACCAAATCACAGTGCTGCCCCTTACTGACCCATTAACCTATAATAATTCTACTCAAAAAACACAAACCTGTACACACCCATGTAAAGTCTAAATAAAAAAATTTAAACCACCATGAAATAATAAGACACTTGAGCAATGAACATCTCAAAAAAGCCTGTATGGTAAAAATCAGTTTGTGAAGGTAAAAGAGATTCATGAGACGTTCACCTTCAGTAAAATACAAAACAACCCCCTCCCTCCATTTATCAAGGGGGATCTCTTCACCCCTGCAACTGCAACCAGATCTCCATCCATCTCCCTGATCCTCATTCTGTCTCAGCAGAAGGGTTTGATCAGTTCACTGGTCTGTTACCCAAAGACAAATACGCACCGAGTGCCTTCCGCACAACCACCTGCCTGCTTAGTCTGGAAACTTCTATCTGATGTTGACATGTCACATATATCTATTTAGTGAAGTCATGTCTTACAGAAAATGTGAAAATGACCCATTCTAAGGCTTATCTAATATGGTTTATCTAATAGATAAAAACTCAAAAAGTATTTGATTGTTTGATTTCTTGAAATTAGCAAGCTAATTGCGATACAAACATCATAACACTGATCTCACATCTTATCATCTATATTTAGTAAATGTCATCTTGTGTATTTTTTACGTTGAGAGGCTCACCTCTGTCAACAGGAAGGAGATGGCGGCGAAGGCGAAGGACCAGCCATATCTGTAGCTGAAGTAGGCCTCGTTGTTCTTGGTCCGGTTCAGCATCTCGTCGTTGATGCTGGATATGTATAGCACAAGGCCCACGACGAGCGACAAGCCTGATAGCAAAGGGCGAACAAGAGGTCAGGGCTTCCTGGGAGCACGCGGGACAGCTACTCAGGATGCCGCAGCCGCGTCAGC